CTGAACCCAGCACCTGATCCCAGCATGCGATGCTGGGCCCCAAAGGCCCAATCTGGGTGTGGGAGGTGGAAAGGGGCAGTGCCAGGCCCCCAGGACTTAATACCAATGTGCAGGGGGTGGGAGGGGGCAGTGCCAAGTCCCCAGGGCCCAACCCCAGTGCTCAGGGCAGGGAGGGGGTGATGCTGGCCTCCAGGGACTATCTGACCCACACCGAGTCTGTACCACTCATCTAGGTTGATGTTGAGTACCACTGCTGTAGACAAACATCTGGCTACGAGTATGATTTAGAGTCTAGACCGTAATCCTGCAAATCCTTCAGTACATGTTAGACCTCAAGCATGTGTCTAAGCTCATTGGCACAAGTGGGTCTAATACACACTGAAAGTATAACATTTGCCCAAGTGCTGTCAGGATCGAGATGTAGATGATGCAAATAATTTTTTTTTTCTGCGATTCTCTGATTCTGGGACTGGAAGCATCAGGGATGTTGGGTTAACTCCAGCAGGGTGAGGAGTCAAGGACCAGGAGCCAGGGCCTGAGTCAGCCAGGCAGAAAGCTGGAGGTGAAAATGGACCAGGAGCTGTTCACAACCTAGAAGCCCCATGTGTTGAGCGTAGATCATGTGCTGGGACAGTCCCTTGAAGTGAAATAGCTGGACCAAAGCTTTTCTTGCTACCCAGCTAGGAGAGTAGCTCGTTAGGCGCTGGAGCAGAGGCTTAACCCTTGGTGGTACTGTGCTGAGCAGAACAACGGGGCAAGCACTCCGGTCCAAATGAGCTTTTCTTTCTCACTGAGGTGTGTAGCACTGGCAGCCAGGTGGGCCCTTCATGTCTCTGCAATGTGTCCCTCAGTTTGGTCTGCACTTCTCTGAGTGACTGTCAAGGTTTTCCAAAGGGATTTTGGGTGTCCAGCTGGAGTCAACTTATAGTTGACATAACTATCAGAACGTGAGGAGAATTTGCTCACTGGGAATCAGGGATCTGTGAAGTATTTCAGGTTGGATCATCCAAAATCTCTAATTCTACTGGAACACCTTGGCCTAAGTGTTGCAGTGATGTCATTTCGCTGCTTGGGAAGCATTGCCAAGCAGTTGCTCAACCACTGGCTCCGGCACAAGGCTGGCAGCACACGTGAGATGAATGAGATTGAGCGCTGTACATCTGTAGGTCTTAAAGAGCATGGCCAAGGTGATCATGCATCACTGTCCCGCTTGATCAGGGCTGGTTGCCTGCCTTCATTTGTGGGTTGTAGGGTATAACCACTGCACAAAGGACCCCAGGACCAAAGGAGAACGTTAGTTTCTGCCAGACATTAATTCTCTTCCTTTTGCCAGCTGCTGACCCATACGTGATCATTAAATGCGAAGGTGAAAAAGTTCGATCTCCAGTGAAGAAAAACACCCTCTCTCCAGAGTTTGACATTAAAGGGCTCTTCTATCGCAAGAAGCCAGGACAGCCCGTCATTGTTCAGGTAATCAGGGGACAGTCTCTAGGCCATGAGTAGTGACAGCTATTTCTGATTCTTCTGCTTAGGCCAGTTCCTTAAATCTTTCTGTGCCTCAGTCCCTTTATCTGGGCAGTAGGTACATTGACCTCACTGGGGTCTTGCAAGGTTTGGTTATTTAACAGTTGAGAGCCACAGAAGTTAAGTACAAAGTGTTATTTTGCCAGGCTCTTCACCTGAAAGCTGGGCTTAAGGACATGTCATGCATCATGGAGGTCTTCCTGGCCACAATTTCAAACCTTTTCTCAGACAAATCAGCTTTCCCTTTTAAGACACATGCTCTGATTTTGCAGGGCTGAGTCTGCGAGGAAAGGTATATGTGGTGTGCAAGTAAGTATGGTACTTACGGAGCAATATTACTGGCTTTGTCCCAGTCCCCTATCTGTAAAGTGAAAACAACAGCACTTTCTTCTTCCCAACCTGTATTGTTTGGTGTATTTTGATTGTAAGCTCTTACAAGCAAGGTCCATCTCGTGCCAGGTGCATGTACAGCACCATGGAGCCCCAGACATATTTGTGAAGCCCCTGGTGTTGTAATGGAGATAGTACAATAGAGCTGGAAAGACAGCCCTATGTGTCCTAGCTTCATGTTCACGGACCAACCTGGAAAGAGCTTGCGTGGCCCACAAGTCACACCCCCCATTTGTGTTTTGCTTCCCTAGATCTGGAACCACAACCTTCTGAGTGACGAGTTCCTGGGTCAGGTGGCTCTAACAGCTGATCCCAATGACGTCCAGTCCATACACACCTTACATCTCCAAGACAAGGGCAACAAGCAGTCCAACGACCTTCCAGGAACCATTGCCGTGAAGCTTGTCAGCAGTAGCATCCTCACCAATGTCTAGCTACTCACAGACTCTTCTTCTAGGGCCATATATGTGTATACATTATATACAGCATATATACTGTCTGCAAGTTGTATGAACTATGCATGCATCCCAGTTAAAAGGGCCAGTCTTGTGTTTTCAATGTTTTAAGAAAAAAAAGAAAAGGTGCCTTTTTGGGGAACCAAAACCATTTTTTTCTTCAGATGAGGCATCCTTTGCAGCCCATACTAAAGAAGTGTGTGCTGGTGTGACAGGGCTGAGCGTGTAATACATTCTGTGACAGCCAGAGCGAGATGCCACAATGCTGTTTGTTTACATGGGGGTGTCCCACACACGCACACGCAAGCGGACCTCTTGGTCCTCCCAAGCACTATGCATCTTAAGTCAACCTGCTTGGGTTTTAGACAGCCATATAGACCGTCATTTCCACCAGAGTCTCATTTGCATCATGTATCTGTAGAAACACATTCAAGAAGTAGATAACAGTTGACCTGGAAGTTTGTATGTGTTCTTAGCATGGGTTTGTACATTGGCCGTAAGGCAACCAGATGAAGAAAGTATCAGGGTATTTCCACAGTCTTTCTAAAGTCCAGCCAAACTGGTACCGCTTGACAAGACAAAGATCATGGATGTTTCATCTAGGATCTGCTGTCTCCACATGATCTATCTTGCCAAGTATCAACCCGAGTCTTTCACTGATAACTGTGAGAGTGGGATATGGAAAAAGCCAACATCCATAGCAATTTGGACCCCACACAGCACAGAGCAGGTAGCCAACAGTGGCATACCAAGGTCCAGCAAGAGACTCCATGTTCAGACAAAGGGGATACCGAGGCATCGGTCATGAAAGCCTGAAGCTAGCAGAGCCGGTGTTTGGAGAGCGTTGCTCAGTAGAGGCCATCTCAACCACCTGGTACAGGTTTTCAGTGTGTAATTTGAATACCCAGCACCTCTATCCTTCATAATTTTTTACAAACTAGACCTAATTCTTCTCTTAGGTGTTTTTATACTGGCATTGTAGCTTCTACCTTGCCACGAAGGAAGGAAGAGGAAAACTGGTCCTAGCACGCCTTGAAAAGACAAGGACATAATTCATTGTAGAGGCTGGTTATCACTTTTAATCACCAGTACACTGATTACTTATTTGAGAGACCCCTCCTTATTGGAGCTGGCTCACCTTGAAGTATTTCACAGATACTGACAATTCTGCTGTGTCTCTGGGCCTTGATCTGCCATCTGGTTTACCATGCAAACTATATTAAAGTTGTGTCATTTGTTCCCATTGGTAGCAGAACTGGACTCTTTTTAGGGGATCATTTTTGGGAAGCAAAGCAGTGGATCCTAGTCTCTTCCTTGAATGTCTGGCAAAGGCAGGTTTCAATGCATTACAGTTTTCTCAATGTGCCTTTAATAATTGTAAGATGGGAGAATTTTCCTTTTAAACCTTCTAAGTGGTTAACGAGAACCAAGCCTTTTGCTGTTGGCCACAGGCAACATATGGAGATGAGTATTGTACTGCTTCATGGACAGACATTGATAACTTTGTTTTATAAATTGGTTTAGGACAGCTTTAGAAATGGTGTTTCACCCCCGGACCAACCTGAGTCGTATTTCAATGGGTAAGTAAAGCGGAATGAGCCCTTTCATCAGAACAGGCAATTTTGTGCCTGAAGCACTACATTTCTGCGTTGATTTGGCAAGACGGTTTTTCAAGATGCACAAAGTCCTGCTAAACGGGTGATTTTCCTACCACGTGGAGTATGTTTCCTTCATTCTCAGTTCAACTACATGTGCTTCAAGAAGCAGCCAAAGTAGCTCAACAGAGGTCTTTATTAGCGGGGTGCCCCTTTCCAGTGTACAGCTTTCCAGAGCAATGGCATTAATCTGTTGTGGGTATTGCTGGCACATTGGGCTGTTTGGTGATTTGCTTAGGCCTTACTTGTGGTTCTGCAGGATTGGAGGCAGGTTCTGACCCGCAGCATCCCCCCGCCATGTGCTAACCATTCCTGCATGGTGTTGAGCATCCTCAGCTCCCACCAATATACCATTGGGAACTGTAGGCGTTCAGTACTTTTGACACTGGGGCTTTACTTCCCAGATCTGAAGACCTCCAGTCAATGAAGAAGTTGAGATTTGGGCGCTGCTTGGCTGCAGCAAAACCTTGGGTCCAGCTGACCCCGACATTCAGAGGCATTCAGATTCGGGTCCACGTTTCATGCTCAGGGCCTGTGTCTAGAGATCACTTTGGCAATAGCAGTCCAATTCCTCTCCAGGCCACACCGACTGCTGTCTACGATCAGGGGAGTAGAGAGGACGTTAAAACAGCTCGGCTTGTGTAGCCTACAGACGTGCAGGCGGAGAGGGGACATGATGGCTCTCCACAAATACATCGGGGAGGTAAACCCCAGGGATGGAGCACAGCTGTTCAAGCTATAGGATAGTGTTGGCACGAGAACAAATGGGTGTAAACTGGTCGTGAACTGACAGTTCAGGATGGAAATTAGGAGGTTTCTAAGCCTCAGTTTGAGCTTCTGCAACAGTCTTCCACAAAGAAGAGTGGGGATGAAAAACACCCCCAAACTAAACTACTTTAAAGATAGAGCTTGGTCTGTGTATGAAAGGCAAAGTAGGAGCTGGTCACCTCTAGAAGTCAAGGCCTGGACTTGATAGAGGTGCCTTCCAGGCTGAGGTTACTATACGCTGAATAGAAAGTGATACTGGCCCCACTGCTAGAGCAGCTTTGGCCAGGAAATGTGCAGCCTCTGGGCCAGATTGCACATCCCTTACTCTTGCTGAATAGCCCGTCAATCCAGAGCAGCCCCATTGAAGCTGCTTTGAGAGGGTTGCTCTGCACCTAAGGCTATCAGGACCCTTTAACCAGGGAAAGTCACAGAGCGCACAGACTATTTTGCCTATCCCTTACAGAGAAACAAGCCATAGCGACAGGAGAGATGGTTGTTTACAGCCTTTTCCATCAAATATATATATATGTCAGGACCAAAATGTCTTAATATTTGTAATCCTTTTTGCCTTTTTGTTCAGTTTTGCTTTTCTTTTTTTTAAAGCCTCCTAAATTCTAGAAGAAAATGTTTTTTTCCCTTTCAAGGAGATAACAGGAACACCCTTTATTACATGATTTCTTAGGCTCTCGTCTTTTCTCTTTAAAAATGATTTGGGAGAGGAGTTACTGAAATGCCATTGTTAACTTTGCTAACTTTCGACGTCTGTAAAACTAAATTAGCTCTTGCTTTTGAAGATGAGCGCTCTAAAGCGATCGCCTAAGAGATGCCTTTGATTTGTTGCCTGTTTCTTCTGCCAATAATTTCACTGTATATGAAGAATCATGATGGCACTTGGTTCATCAAGCTTCATGACGTGCACGTGTTAAAACGGGACGGGACAGTGTCTTCCTACATGAAAAGCATTGATGTGTCGCACTGTATGAGATCAACAAGCAGTCCAAGCATAATGCCAAACTTGTACAGATGTAAACCTTCTATAAATAAATTGTGTATATTTTCTTCGGACTCCGTCACTTCAAGGTAACGTGGTCTTTCACGAACCCAGGCCTGCCATGTGGGTTGTGGGTTTTTTTCTCATCTTTCTGCATGTTTTAATACAGTGAGCTCCATTTTGAATTGGTTTCTTTGCCAACTTGGATGGGGGGAGATGGTTTCTCCACCAGCTGTAGATTTGTTATTTAATTAACTTGCTTAAAGTTCTTCCTTCAAAGCGGAGAAAATGGAGTTGGGCTGCACCACATCGTATTGGCGGGGACTGGGGAAGCTCGCGTCCCGATGAGATGCGTTCTGCAACGTCCAGAACAGCATTGCAAGCAGACATGTAACATCAGACACGTGATTTAAGCTCGCTTCCAGTACCTATGAAGCCGAGTGTAGAGAAGTTCAAGTTCAGGATGGAGAAGTGTTCGAGGATATGGGAGCTCACGTGGGGCAAGAGTCGTAGCCAATATTTTTAAATCTAGGTTGTTAGCAGCCGAGTGGAGATGGCCTGACATTGCTAAAGTCACTAAGTACGTATGTAGACGGTGTGTAAGTGCAGTTCCAGTCCACCCTGCTTGTGTCCCTAGAAAACCATTCATGAAAAAGTGGGTGCATCCTTCTTGCTGCTTTTTCTGACTCGCTCTTCAGGGTCAGGTGAGGGTATGCTCCAAAAGCAGATGCAATGTGGATTTTCCGGGGCTTGACCACGATGGAAAAAATGCTCAAGTCTGACTAGTGGGCCCCATTTGGATCGTCTGAACCAAAACACTCAATGTCTACAGTCTGTTCAGCAACCAAAGAGATTTTGTAAGACTAACTGAAATACTTCATGGTCCCTAATTCACGCTTACACGGACATTTGGAGAGCTAATGACTCCATACGTCCTATCATGATAGGTGGCAAGACCCAGGAAATGCTTCATCACGTGGCTTGTGGGCAGCTTTTATGCTCCTTCATGATGACAAAGAGAGTAGCCTCACACTGGTTTCATCCGGTGAGGCCTGAAAGAAGCAGGGCAGCTTTCATATGGGCTTTTATTTAATTTTTTTTAAAACTTTTTTGTTTAACTTTTCTGACTGAGTTCCCTGTCAATAGAAGTCCTCATCAGGTGATGGTAGCAGCTGTATTTGGCCTTGCTTAAATCAAAATTCATGGATGCACTTCCTATCCAGGATTCAACCCAATCCTTTTAGATCTCTGCAGTTTACCTACAAAAACATGATATGAGCCAAAAATGTCGCTAGCAAAAGTGAGTTCCCTCTGTAGCAATTTCTGTAGCAATTTCTGTTGGAAGGAGGACTGGGAGGTTGAAAATGAGTCTCCATGCATTTAGTTTAAGGCATTTTCACATGTGCTCTGGGGTGGGGGGTGGGGATGCTTTAATTAGAGTGGCTCCAAGAGCCACTAATTACAGCACCCAGAACATCTCATGTATCAGTGTCCTTGCACTTCAAAATGGTGGCGGGGGCACTTCATCTAAAGTTTGTCGAATGAGTTTTAGTTAAAGCACCCCTGCCACCATTGTGAAGTGCGGGGATGCTGATACACGAGACGCAGAAGCTGGCAGGAGCATGGTAATTACCACGATTAATCAATTAATTGAGGCTGCTCCCATGCGCTGTAATTGCAGCGTATCAGAGAAGCCATCTGGCTCATGTACAGGCACCTAAGGCCCAGCAATGAAGTTTTAAAGCAGAGGAGATACCGAACACTTTACACAGGGAATTGATGCATAAGCAAACGCCACGAAACAGCACTTTTGCATGTTCCTTGCAAACAAGAACAATGGAAACCTGAAAAGTGCCAAATACTGTTGCTTCAAATGCCAGAAATGTTGATGTCAGTTGAATTCCCAGAAACTGTGGAAAAGGATCTAACCTTGTGAAATAAGAGCGGTGCATTCGAGTTCTCTGATCCACTGAAAGAGCCCAAATTGGAGGATACGGCAGGCTAAATCCATCAGAGCGCTGCGTTCCTGCCAAACCTCATGCTGATTTCCATAAGATTTGTTCTCACAACACTGGAAAAATAAATGATGCCATTCTGAAGAGTGGATGCGAAGGCAGCAAATAAACTATAGAGAACATAAGGTTCAGGAGCCCAGCCAAGAGGATGTCTGGGGTGCGACAGAGTAATTTCAATGTACTAAAACAAGCAGAAAAGATAGATAGAGCTGTGTGGTCTCCTACTTTGAATTATGCAGCAGAACATCCTCCTACAGTGCAGAAGACAAGAGAAAGAAATGGTCCGATGGGCCATTTACACTGAGAAGAGAAGCAACCACTTGCAAGTGCCACTGCAAGACAATTCTTTATAGGAATAGGATCATGGGGAAGTAGGGCTGGAAGGGACCTCACAAGGTCATCTACTCCAGTCTCCTGTCCAAGGCAGGATCATCCCTGAATAAACCATCTCAGCCAGGTGTTTGTCCAACCTGCTTCTGAAAACTTCCGAGGATGGAGAGTCGAGTTGCTCTAGGTAACCATTGCCAATGCTTCACCACTGTCGTAGTCAGAAAATTCCTCCTAATCTCTAGCCTAAACTTCCACTGCTGCAGCTTGAGTCCACTGCTCCTAGCCTTGTCCTCTTTGGCCATAGAGAAAAGCCCATCTCCATGCTCTCTGTAATTGCCCTTCATGTATCTGGAGACTATTATCCAATCCCCTCTCACTTTCTCTCTCTTCTTCAAACTAAATAACCCTAGTTCTTTTAGCATTTCCTCTTAAGTCTTGCCGCCCAGGCTCCTAATCGCACTACAATGGACTCTTTCCAAACTGTTCACAACCTTCTTGACACATGGGGCCCAAAACTGGGCACAATGCTCCAGGTGAGGCCTCACCGGTGCTGATTAAAGTGGAAGAATCCCTCCCATTGATTTGCAAGTGACCGTCCTGCTAGTCTTAGAGCAGCAGCTAGCAGTGCCAACTGGAATCAAACCCTATTATGGTAGGTCTGGGCTGGCAAAGGGAGAAAGAGGTCCTTTCCCAAAGAGCTGCCATTGGAGGAAACATGCAATAATAATAATAATGTAATATGTGTGTGTGTGTGTGTGTGTGTGTGTGTGTGCGCGCGCGCGCGCGCAAAGTGTGGGCAGGGCAGCAGAAGGGCAAAGGGACTTGCCCAAGGTCACATTGCTGGTCAGTGGCAGAGCTAGGACTGCACCCTGACTCTTCAGTCACAGGTTGACATCTATCCATCAGCTACATATGGTCTACAGGGCAGATTGGGCCCATGGAGCCTTTGGATCTAGTGCACGGGTCTAGCTTCGGTGGCATGCATTGGCGGGGGCTCTCTCTGTGCCTTGCTGCGGTCGGCTGCCTGGGGCTGTGGCAGAG